GCCTTTCCAGGCACACCATCCGGGAGCTCCAATGGCCAGGGAGAAATCCTGGTCCAAACAGGACCAGCGGCAACATTCCCATTGATGTTCACAGGGCCAGGATTTTGCCACATGTCAATTCCCCAGTGTATCTCACCAAGGGAGAAAACCATCATGGGAAAGTCTGAGCGATGTCTTAGCTGAGCTACTGGCAAGCCTGCCTGCCTGCCTGCCCGCCCGCCGGGGGAGCCCAAATTGGCAAAGACATTCTGGCCTCTAAATTTCAGTGCCTCTATTTTTTGGAAGCCAGTCGACTTCCCGGTCAGATATTCCCTCCTGCATTTCTCTCCCACTGGTTTTACTGCTCACCAAATCAGCGTAGAAACTAGATCAGACTTTAATAGCCCCCTCTGGCTTCTCCTGCCTACGTCCCCTGCCTGTCACCCTAGTGGGATGTCTCAAGTAGTTATTCACAAAGGATGCTAATGCTACACACATGAGTTCGACTTTGCACGTGGAACAGGCTGCAGGGGTGGGTGAAAGCATAACAACCCATCTCGTCGGAACCGGCATCCACAGATTTACAAGCTCTGCTTCTAGGCGGGGTTAGAAATAGGCCCTAAATCTTCACAGGATCTAAACTAGCTCAGAAGGACCTGAACCACCACTCTCAGCACAAACACAGCTAGACCCTGTTCACCATCGCTGGCCAAATACCATTTAAATCAGCCATGTAGATGCTAGTCGGTCATTTTCATTTGGTTTTTGGATCAGGGGTTTGGTTTAGATGCAGGTTGGCTTGTACGCCAGCGTGTATGCTAAATGAATTTCAACAGCTCCTAGATCTGTGAATCTAATGTGACGGGGCAAGGCCAGATGGCTATGGAAAAGTAGTGGGAGATAGATATATTAGCTCCAGGCTAAACAAATCCCTGGTACCAGGATAAGTGAAATGGCAGCTGCTCCAGGTCAGTTAAGACACCTGGGGCCAATTAAGAACTTTCCAGACGGCAAGGAGAAGGCTAGGTTGATTGGGACACCTAAAGCCAATCAGGGGCTGGCTGAAACTAGTTAAAAGCCTTCCAGTCAGTCAGGTGGGGTGCATGTCAGGAGCAGTGGGAAGAAGTTGCGCTGTTGGAGAGGCTGAGTAGTACACACCATATCAGACACAAGGAAGGAGGCCCTGAGGTAAGGGTGAAGTGGAGCTTGAGGAATTGAGGGCTGCTGTGGGGGAAGTAGCCCAGGGAATTGTACATGTCATGTTTCTAAAAGGTCAGCTACCATAGCTGATACGATTAGGGTCCGTGGGCTGGAGCCCAGAGTAGAGGGTGGGCCCGGGCTCCCCACCCCCACCTTTGCCCCCTGATTAATCACTGAGACTGGGAGACAACAGAGACTGTGCAAGGAAGGATAACTTCTCCTCACCTCCCTTGCTGGCTTATGATGAAAATGGCTCAGTAGACTGTGACCCTTGTCTCTAGAGATAGAAGGGTTACATGGAGGGTCACAGTGAGCCTCTGAGGCTAGCGAAATCCATCAGGAAACGCAGGACCCACGGAGGCAAGGACAGAGCTTTGTCACACTAATTACCGCAAATCTTCGTGTGCTCTGCTCAGCGGGGAAGAAGGAGCAGGTGCTATTGGGCTTCAGGGCACTGAATAAAGCATTGGTCAACAGAGAGACTCCAACTAAGACAGTCACACAGCATGTAGACATCAGGCCTGGCGCAGTGGAATTTGGAACCTGACTGGGGCGTGCACACAAGTCTGTGGGTGGGGAGCTTACAGAGGTGGAGAGATTTCAGAGTAGCATCCCTTTAAGTCTGTATCCACAAAAAGAAAAGGAGGACTTGTGGCGATTTCAGAGTAGCAGCCCTGTTAGTCTGTATCCACAAAAAGAAAAGGAGGACTTGTGGCACCTTAGAGACCAACAAATTTATTTGACCATAAGCTTAAGGTAGAGAGAGTGTATTTCCTGGAGTTAGAAGGATCAGAGCCTGTGGGATGGCTTACCTCCTTAGCAATGCAACCGGGGAGGAGGGAATGGGATGCCCCCTGCTGATCTAAAGAGGGAACTGACAGCACCCCAAGAGACAAGGTGGGCGAGGTGACATCTGTTATTGGACCAGCTTCTGTGGGTGCAAGAGACAAGCTACCCAGAGCTCCCCTTCAGGTCTGGTGTGGATTTTTCACACCCCTGCATGACGTAACTGGGTCGACCTCACTTTTTAGTGTAGACCTGGCCTAGTCTCCTCCGTTCCTGAAGGGGGGAGCCAGCAGAGGGGGGATAATCCCCTTGTACGTGGTCACACAGCAGGGGCAGGAAGTGCACCCGGCTGCCACCTCCCCACCCAAGTGCCCTGAGCACCCCCTCGTCGGTAGCAGGAAGGAATAACTAAACCCTCGTGGGAACGGAGGTGCCTTCCCAAGGACTATGCTGGGTTAAAGAAGTTACTGACCCCCAAGGGAGCCCTTGGTTCAGCTCTGGCTAAAGTCACCAGAGAAGGCAGCAGGGTGGTCATCTCGCTTGTCCTCTTCTCAGAAAGTTCCCATTAGCTGGGGCAAGGCAGCGTCTGCTCCTGGGAGGCCGGGGCTGACACTGACAATGCGGCATGGAGCCCCAGCCCTGGATCAGCAGAGGTGGCTGCAGGACTGCATTGGCAAAGGGGTTTGCAATTGCAAGGGCAGCGTGCACTTCACAGGCACCCACCCATACCTGCGTCCAGCCGCTGCTATCGGCCTTGTCATTCAAACTGACGCCGAATGGGAAGGAAACGTTCTTCCCTTGGCTGGGGCGGGCGACAACAATGTGCAAATCGCCTTCTTTTAAGTCCAAGGAAACGTCAGCACCCGGCCTTGGCTTCCCCACAAGCCTGGATCAAGGACAGCATCTAAAGCGCCACACACAGGACTCAGCAAGGTTCAAATAACCCTCTCACTAGGACGCTGACAGCTGCACCATCTGCTCTCTCAGATCCCTGTTGCCCTGCACTCCTTTATGAGCCTAACTGGGATATTTATTTCCCGGCTGTTTATTTCAGGGAATGGATTTTTCCATCCTCCTTGGCATTTATGAGACGGTTAATGATTTTCCTTCGCGCCCCAAGGTCTTCAGCTCTGCCTTGGGAAGTGAACTTCCAACCACAAATGGGAATTTCAGCCCCTCTCTGGGTTAATAGCCCAGCTCTTTGGTCCAAGCTGCTCTTCATTTCCTGCATTCTCTTGTCTCTTTGATAAGTGATGAAGGAGGGTGCAGGGAAATCGCTAATATTTCATTGCATCCAAGCTCTCCAACAAACCAGCGCAGTGGTTAACTCCCTCAACCCTGTCTTTTGGCTTTCCTGGTCAAGTCATTGTTACTTGGTAACTAACTCCTGGTGAAGGACAGGCTGCCCATCCATAGCTCTCTGCACTTCACACAGTCCAGGCAGAGATCTCAAAGCACTTTGCAAAGGTTGCATCCCAATCCCCACCTCTCCCTGTGCCCTCGCCAGGACAGCTGGGACCTGGAACCCCTTGTTAGCCCTAGGAGTTGGACTCCTGGCGCCAGGGTGCTGTCTGTGCACTTTCCCAGCTGGGATTACTTCCCATTTCAGGGCCATCAGGACTTTTTACATGACACGTTGGTCTGATCGGTCCTGCTGCAGCAAGCGGTTCCAGCGGTAGCAGGAGCATCAGTGTGTGCTCCCCCGCACGTCTGGGTTTACTGTCTTAAACATGGGGCCAAGGAGAGTCATGGAGCCAGCCTCAAATAAATCTGGAGGCAATAATTAAAATAAATGAAGTCTCACAACACCCACTTCAAGAGAGAGAACTGGACAGAGGTGAAAGTCGAGGCACAAGGAGGGTAAGTGACTCAGAGCCAGCTCCTGCATCCTCTGCTCCCACAAAGCGTCTTGCCGAAGTCAGCATGTCTGCTGCAGAGAGCATGTGAGCATGTGTGCAAGGCTGGGCCCTTTCCTTGTGTCTCCTGGAAAAATCTCGCCCTCTGTCATTCGTGGTTTTTCCACCATCACCCAACTGCATTGCCTTGCTCCACACGCCAGCCTGGTGCTCACCTGTCTATGGGTTTTGCTAGTTCCAGTTTCCAGCGTGAAATTGATGCTAAATTCTCTTTTTTCACTCCCCGTTGACTCAGCTTTATTAATAAACCGCGTGTGCTGCAGGATGCTCCTGGGAACAGAAATCCTTGAGAATGGGATACACACGACAGTGATGAGTTGGCAAGACGGGCCAGCTCTGCCGGGGGAGGTGAAGATAAATGGACAAACCCAATGGGGCCATCATCTGCTGCGCTCTGAACAGAGCCTGCTTGGGAAACCCAACCTGCGCTGGCTATAATCTTCTTTCCCATCCCCTGTTGCAGGGGAAACCTAGATCCCTACTTGGGTGTGCCTCTCGTTTGAGGCCCTCCCACCCCATCCTTCCCCTGTCTTTGGGGCATGTGTATCTCACTGCCTATCTTCCCTTTCTGCAGCTCTGAAACTCCCTTAGCCCCCTCACACACACACCCGCCCCCGATAAAACCAACCACGTCTGCTCCTCCGCTGCTTGCCGGGTGCTCTTGTCTTTCAGCGATTGCTTGGAACAAATTCCTTCTTTGGGGGCAAAACAATTGTGTAGATTAAACCATGGCCCAGAGGACGGCGTCTCATTCATTGCACGCTGGGCTTGCTGTGGGGGCGACAACGCTCTTGGAGAGAAAATCGGATTTCCCTTAGATTTTAAAAGGGGTTTGAATTTTAGACAAAGGAGCCAGAGCTGCATTTCCCTCCCCCTCTCTTTGTGTTATGGACACATGGGGGGGGGGGGCCAACCCTTTAGTTCCCCAGCTCCAGATCAACTCACCCTGCATCGATCCCCCCCCCCCCTCAGTTGTGGTCCTCCTCCCACGAATGCAGCTGCGTCTGGGCACGAGCACACCACCGGCTGTGAGATGCACACGCGGCACGGCAGCTGAATTAGCACCAGTGCATGCCACTTTGGCATCACCCCCCCACCCCCACCCGTTGCAGCGACATGCCAGCCCTGCCTCTGTTAAATCCCTGTGCAGAGCCGAGGGATTTTCCCACGTCTTATTCCCTCTGCGTCCTGCAAGGCGAACTTGCCCCCTTCCCTTCTTGCATCGGGGGAGGGGGCTGCTTGCTTTAGCTCAGCCCCCTGATCAGAAAACCCCCCCCCCGGCACAGAACCTGTCCACCGGTGCAAGGAGAGCCGCTGCTTTGCATGACGCAGCCGCTGTGCGTGGGGAAGGGGCAGGGGGAGGAGAGGGTCCCTCTTCGCCTCTGCTGCCGGAGGAGCACTTCGGAGCTGAGCGAGCCTGAAGCCCGCGGCGGGCGCCTGCCTGGGACCGCACCCCAGCACGAGAGACTTGCAGCAGGTGAAAACTTCTGGAGGGGGAAGGCAGCTCTGGGAGAGGCTGCAAGGCAGGGCTGCCCGCGGGAGCGGAGATCTGGCCAGGCTGGGGCTCCTGCCCACTTGGCTGCTGCTTCTGGGGAGCTCCGAAGAAACAGCCCCCCCCCCCGGCTTGTTTGGAGCCAGGGACAGCCTGGCTTGGTGCAAAGGGGGAGAGGGTGCCTTGCCGGCTGGGATGCTCTTTCCCTGCTCAGGAGCCTGTGAGTAGCTGCGGGAGGGGGGCTCCGGTTTGGGGGAATAGCCAGCTCAGGGAGAAGGGGGGGGGCTTTTTAGGGAATGGGTCTCAGTTTGCTACCAGGAGCTGGGGGAGTTTGCAGAGTCCTTCACTTGCTCCTGGTAGGGGTGGGGGTGGAGGGGAAACTGTGCCTGTGTGTATGGGGGGGGGCTTTTGATTTTTTTCTGGGCCCTCTCCCACCTTTTCCATTCTTCTCCCTCCCCATCTTTACCGAATCCTTTGCGGCTTTTTGCACCCATTGAGGCTTTCCCCCTCCTCTGGTCTCAGCAGCGGCTCTGGCAAGGAGACTGCCCCCCCCCCCAGCCAGGGACGTGCTCGAGCTGCTAGCCCCCAGACCTCATTCCCTCTCATCCTGCCCCCGCCCCATGCTGGCTTTCCTTACCCTCTGCCTCTCCCCACTCATCCCGTGCCCAAGGCAAGATAGGAGCCAGCGCACAAGGCAGGGGGAAACCCCTCCCACACTGAGCCAAGCCCAGGGGGGCTCAGCCCCCTACCCCTTGGGAGCCCTGTTCCCGGGGATCTGCACAAGAGAAGCCCAGCAGGTAAGATAAGAGGGGCTTCTCTGCCAGCAGTGGCCCTTCTGCTGAAGGTGCCCATTAAGACCTTCAGCAGAGTCGTGTTGCTCCTGCCACCATGCAGCCGGAGCTCCGGCGAGGCCAGAGCAAACGCACGCTCGCCTCGCGCAGGGCTGGTGCTTGGACCGAGGGGCAGGCAGCTGTCGCCGGGCTGTGCTGAAGTTGCTGCTGGAGAGGACTGTGGGAGTTAGATGGGATGGGGTGGGGCGGGGGGGGGGAGAGGACGTGCAATTGGAAAATGTGCAAGAGTGTTCAGGGTACTTATCTAAAAAACCCTAAAGATTTGCCTGGGTGCCTGCGTTTTCCTGAGCACTGGGAAGGGCGTGGAACAGGTTTCCCACAGAAACTGGCTGCAGCAACAGTTCCTTCTTAGCTCCTGGGTCGTCATAAAACCTGCGGGCACATTTTAATTGGTCTCATCGAAATAAAGTTCGTCCGTGCTACTATTGTATTTGATTTGCCAGGCTAACGTCATTCTTGGGATAACTCTACTGCCGTCAGTGGGCTTTCCTCAGGCCGGGGTTTGGCCAGTAATATTTTAGATATTACGAAAACACAGGAAGGAACCTGCCTAGCAGTGGTCTAGCTAGGTCAGCCTCCTGAATAGGGCACAGACTTCAGAGGAAGGTACAGAAAAACTGCAAGAGGTGGTCGTGGGAGAAACTGTCTCCAGGGAACATTCCCTCCTGACCACGCCCCAGCCCACAACCCCATCAGTAAGAAGTTGTCTTAAGACCTGAAGCAGGAGGGTTAAGCAATAAAGAGGGGGCTTCTTTACACTTGTTTTGTTCTCTGTTTGATTTTTAGATCTCTCTGCCCCACTCCTGTAAACAAACAAAGGTGAGAATTCATTTCATCTGAATTTTACCTGCCCTGTGAACAACGGCACCATGGATCTGGCGTACGAGTTGCCCAATGTCACTGAGTTCTGGTTCTCTTCGGCCTCCCAGTTAGACAACTTCTCCACGGAGATGTCTGCCAACGCCTCCCAGAACACTACGGGCCAGCATTTTGACCTGACTAGCAATGCCATCCTTACCTTCATCTACTTTGGGGTGTGCATCATAGGCCTGTGCGGCAACACACTGGTGATCTATGTCATCCTCCGCTATGCCAAGATGAAGACCATCACCAACATCTACATCCTGAACCTTGCCATCGCAGATGAGCTCTTCATGCTGGGGCTGCCATTCCTGGCCATGCAGGTGGCTCTGGTCCACTGGCCCTTCGGCAGAGCCATCTGCCGGATCGTCATGACTGTGGATGGGATCAACCAGTTCACTAGTATCTTCTGCCTGACCGTCATGAGCATCGACAGGTACCTGGCTGTGGTCCACCCCATCAAATCTGCCAAGTGGAGAAGGCCAAGAACGGCCAAGATGATCAATGTTGCCGTGTGGGGTGTTTCCCTTCTGGTCATTATGCCCATCATGATTTATGCTGGGATCCAAAACAACCATGGAAGGAGTAGCTGCACCATAATCTGGCCAGGCGAGTCTGGCGCATGGTACACAGGGTTCATCATATATGCCTTCATTCTGGGCTTCCTGGTGCCCCTCACCATTATCTGCCTTTGCTACTTGTTCATCATTATCAAAGTCAAGTCCTCTGGGATCAGAGTGGGCTCCTCCAAGAGGAAAAAGTCGGAGAAGAAAGTCACCAGGATGGTCTCCACCGTAGTGGCAGTCTTCATCTTCTGCTGGCTTCCCTTCTACATATTTAACGTCTCCTCCGTCTCCGTCTCCGAATCCATCACCCCCACGCCCTTCCTCAAGGGTATGTTTGATTTCGTTGTGGTCCTCACCTATGCCAACAGCTGCGCCAACCCCATCCTCTACGCCTTTTTGTCCGACAACTTCAAGAAGAGCTTTCAGAACGTTCTCTGCCTGGTGAAGGTCAGTGGCATGGATGATGCCGACAGGAGCGACAGCAAGCAGGACAAATCCAGGCTAAATGAGACCACAGAAACTCAAAGGACTCTGCTTAATGGTGACCTTCAGACAAGCATCTGAGAGGACTCCAGGATTGCCCTTTTCAGCTGTCCTCTTTCCTCCTCCTCCCCACTCCTTTATATGGCAGTAGCACACAGCAAGTCAGGTCAAGAGTACTTGGTCGTTGTTTGCTTGTCTTAGGGGATGGTAATGCAGGGAGGGGGGCCTGTGCCAAGAGTAGCCTCTTAGCGGAAGGCAGGTTGGTTTTGAATATTCAGACAGATGCTGCTCAAATGCAACTTCATACATGGAAAGACACATACACACACACGAGGGCAGCACTTGGAGGCATTTCTGCTAGACTTGGTTACACATACCAACATGCTCCATACAGCATGGGTCACATATGTCTAGACAGAGCTATTCATGGCTGTTTCTTTGCAAAGCAGTCGACCCAGCTGGAAATGGGAGAGAGCAGTCTTAAGAATCAGAGCACACACAGTGAGATCCTCCACTAGGACATGAAGAATATTTCATTTTATTACCCAACTAGTAAAATTTTATTTTTTTAAGACTGAATCTCCTGAAGCTCCCCTAGTTTTACGAGAATATTACTGTATTTATTTACAAGGTGCTTTTCCTGCCACCGGAGAAGCAACAGATCAGAATGAAAGAAATCACATCGGAAGGAAAATATCCCGGCCCCAGTACAGTGTGTGTATGTGTGTGAGGGTGGACAAATAGGACTCAGACCTCCTAAGAGATCTGGAACCCAATTTCCATTAAAATTGATGCCTCAGGGCAGCCTGGAAAATCTCCGTTGATATACACACCTGTGCAGTCAGATACACGGTGCTGGTATATATGTGAGCAGTTATATTTGCGGTGGACTCACCTGACCTGGACTCTGCCCACCGGCCCATCTAGCCAGTGCTACCTCTCACATCCCAGACCTTCGAGCAGCTTCAAATACAGCCACCTTCCCGCTTAAATCAACTTGCCATAAAAAAGCCTTTCTCCTCTCCCTCATATGTATAATGTTTCCCTTCTTTCACCTGAAATGAACTAGAAACACTGCTCCAAAGGGCGGCATGGGCCATCTTCAGTCCTGAGCTAGTGGTGGCTTTCCCGTCGTCCCCCAGCCACTGCTTTTCTGTTGTTTTCCTCCAGGGGAATGTGGCAGGGACTTTTAGCGAGTGCGTTGTCTGAGAGGCATCAGAGACGAGCAACAGCATCCTTCACATGGAAAGCACCTGCACGTGTTCAATCTGCAGCCACACAAGCCCAGATTCGGCGTGCCGTTCAATTCTAGCATTCATGATGCTGTGGCGGAAACAGCTACCGGAACATTGTCGAGCTGTGTGTTTGGTGTTGTTGCATGCACACACGTGCACACAAAGGCTCTAGGGAAGCCACTGGCTCTCTCGCTGGCTGCTCAGCGAGGCCTTTTCCGCCCTCGTGCGTGTTCTGTTGATGTTCCTGGGCTAGCAAGACTCCTGGGGTTGTAAATTACAAGCCGCTGGCCATCAGTTATTACAAGGTGGATGCTTTACTTTGCCGTTGGTCTGAGCGTGGACGTTTCTGACGCTGCAGACGTGGTCTAAAGAAGGTACCAAGGGAGAGGCTGAGGGACATTTGACGACTCTGTCTAAAATGTTGACAGATGCCAGGCCTGGTGGGTGTGTGCTTGGCTTGGTTCTAAAATGTAAACGCTCGGGGGGTGGGGGGGAGTTGGGATTCTGGGGGAAATGAGCTGCGATACTGCTGGGCGAAATTTTCTTCTCAGTTACAGTGGTGTAAATCTGGACTAACTCTCTTCAGAAAGCAGAGCACGGCTTCTCCACACCTGTGAAGGCTGCTGAGTTGTAGGCAGCTGTAAAGTGCTTGGGGGAGTCGAGAGCCGTGGTGCCAAGATACTATGGTGATAAATGTAAATACGTCAGCTGGGTCAGGGAGGGTCGCGTGCTGGAGGCTAGAGCAAATGTTAATTGCTGGGTTCATCTGTAGAGAAATCTACTGCTGCTAATCAGATCTGCTCCTTACCCCCAATCCACCCTGTCAGAGTGACTGTAGGGAATAGAAAAGGAGGACTTGTGGCACCTTAGAGACTAACACATTTATTTGAGCATAAGCTTTCGTGAGCTACAGCTCACTGCATCGGATGCATGCAGTGGAAAATACAGTGGGGAGATTTATATACATAGAGAACATGAAACAATGGGTGTTACCATACACACTGTATTTTCCACTGAATGCATCCGATGAAGTGAGCTGCAGCTCACGAAAGCTCATGCTCAAATAAATTGGTTAGTCTCTAAGGTGCCCCAAGTCCTCCTTTTCTTTTTGCGGATACAGACTAACCCGGCTGCTACTCTGACACCTGTCATTACGTAGGGAATAGGGAAACCCTGTGGCTTAAGGGGTCTGAATGGGGGGAAAAGAGAACAGACCTTTTTTCCCTTTAAACCGCCAGTAGGTCTCCAATGGCACCAGTATAACCAGCAACCGAGACCTGCTCTCTTGCGACACGGTGCTCTCGGGAGAAGAGAAAGCCCGGGGGAGTGGGAGTGACCTCTTTAGAAGCAGGGAGGGGAGCTGAATGTTTGTTCTCCAGTGCTGTGGCATGCTAGAGAAACCACACCTGTATTACGGCCTTGTAGATTTCAGAGGGGAAGTACATAAATCACAGTTTCTGGAGGGAGAAAGCTCACCAGGTACACAGCCAGGCCTCTCTCCAGCTCTCACCTTGTTCTCTAGTCAGTCCGAGGCATTTTGGCGGCGCTTCTCACCCTAGTGTCTGAAAGCTTTACAAGTAATTCCCCTCCTCCCCCATTTTACAGGTGAGGAAACCAAGCCTTGCAGAAGTTAAAGCCAGTGTTTTTCAACGTGGTTTCTCACTGGGCCGACTCCATTCCCTGGGTGCTGACGTGCCTCAGGCCGGGCACCCAAAAGTGGAAGCAGCCCAAGCTGGGTGGGAGTTGTTTGAAAACTTTGGCTCCGGCCGTGCCCAAGCTCCCGCTGGGAGCCTCCCCACTCCCAGTCCTGTGCCTCAAATACAAGATTTCTCCCCCTTCCCTTTGTAACCAGCCCTGATCCTTCCACCTAGCACCACGCCTCCAAAGCCCACAAGTGGCATTCAGTGCTACAGTCTGTATTCCCTAGAACCCCGCCCCCCCCGGTACCCCTGGGCACGGTTGGTTACAACAGCGCAAAATACGTGCAAGGGGGTAGACAGAGCGCCTCAGTCAGACTAGGAACCATTTACACCGGGGTCAAGAGCTACCCAAGGTGCATGGCCATGGAGGAGCTGGCCCCTGGGTTTTAGCTAGCGTAAGCTAGTGTCCTGGTGGTGCAAAGCAGAGTTTTGCACAGTCGCTTCCATCCAATGAATGTGCCCTTCATTTGTTTCAAACCAGAATCTTGATATGTTCCCCTCTCCCCTCTGAGAAATTTTCATTTACATTTAACACCTGCTCAGGGGTGAAATTCTGCCCTCAGTTACCGACATGCAACCCCATTGCCTTCAAAGGGGGTAACTGACATCCCGGCTCAGGCACATAAGCAATTCTCCCTTCCCCCCCCCCGCCCCCAGCTGTCTTTTCAAACACAGGCCGGAGAACAAGAAGTTTCACACACACACACACACACACACACAGAGCCACAGCCCTTTCGCTTGCTGCTGGCCAGGTGGCAGGGACTCCGTTTTATCTCGGGGCTGTCTGAGGTATGTTGCTATATGCCATTTTTATAAGGAGGAAGTAAATATTAACCAAGACTTTGCAACAACAAAAATAAAATATACTAGTGATGAGCTGGGGATTAAAAACAAGAGGAACGTGTCACATTAAAATGAAATATGGTGTCATGATTGCTAGGCTTGATGCAGCTGGGAGCCCTTTGTTAGGCACAGGTTTAGTGTTACAGCATTGGCAATGCACCAACTGGGTTGGAAGTGCTGAATATCTCGTGGGTAGCGTGGGAGTTATTTGTACGGCAGGAAGGTGTGGGGGGAAGAGAGAGAGAGAGAGAGAGAGAGAGATCTGCTTCAGCATCTCTCTCCTGATGAAAGGAGCTGCTATTTGCAGGACTTCTCCCACAGAAACCTGGAGCAAGGCTTTACCCGGAGCCTGCTAGTGAGTTGCGTTGTGTAGCAACACGGAGCCCTGTCTACACGCAGAAATGGCACCTCTTTGACTTAAGTCGTTTTTTTAAAAAAAATCAGTGGAAACGGTGGGAACTCGCTTCTTTCAGTGTAAGCGGGACTTACAGCGGTTTTGGTTACAACTGCTCCCGGTTGAATGAGACCAATCCAAAATAAGCCTCCTGGTTTTAAATGAAATAGGAGTGTACCCGTGGCCGTTGGTTTAAAATCGCACCTGAGGGTTAAACCAATGCAGCTTGCTGGTGTGGACGTGCTCTGAGTGGCAGAAAAGGGAAGGAGATGAACAGAGTTGGCTAGCTGTAAAGTGTGCCCAGAAGTCTAGTCTAAGAGCAAAACCTTTTGGAAAGTTAAATGCTTGGCTACTTCACACCGTACAAACCATGGGGCTGAGCTTCTGGTCCTGGGAACAACTGTGCAGTTAAGGCCAACTTTTTCCAGAAGAGGCTGCTGATGTGGGGTGCCTCATTTTTCTGGGGTCCCCCCTTGCTCCTGGCTTTCAGAAGGGCTGAGCACCCACAGCTGCAGCTGACGTCATTGGGTGCGGAAGGTCAGCCTGGCCCCAAGAACTGAGGTCCCACTTTCTAAAAGCTTGGGCCTCCGTGAGGATGAATTAACGAAGCACCGTTTGGCCCCCAGACACGCTCGAGGCAAGAGCAACTGTCCATGAAACAGTTTGGGCCTGATCCGGGACCCGACTCAGCCCAAACCCCTATGATATGAAACGAGTGGGATGTCCGGCCGCCCCTGGGGTGAGAATCTTCAGCCTTGGGGAACGTGCAGCCTCCACCTGGGTGGGGGGGCAGGGTTCCAGCAAAACCTCCCACTGAGCGGTAGGTGCAGCCTCCAAAGGCTATTTGGAGTAAGTGGGAGCATCTTGGGAGCCGATAGGAATTTCCTGGGTGCCTATGGCCATTGTGCAGCAGGGTTTGCTCAGGGACAGGTATATGCCCCGCAAACACCAGTGCACAGTGGCCCCACCCCGAAGCAGGGAACCACGCCCCGGCTGCAGGGTGTGGGTGCGTAAGGATGGGCTGGTGGCTGCTGCTGCTGCTGGCCATCCTCCTCAACCACCAATGCACAGTCACCACTTTGCGCAGGGGCGCGTGCTGCCTGCCTGTGCTCCACATGCAGGTCCGGCGGCCAGGCTTCTCCCTAGAGTAAGGGCTGCAGCGGCATCAGGAGTAGCCCACTCTGGGAAAGCTGAGGGGTTCTGTGCACCGGCCTTTCGCCCACCTACCCTGCCCCTGGCCTGGGCTCAGATCAGAACTCAGGTCACAAAACACGACAGGGGCGTCTCATCTTCTTCCCTCAGCTCAGGCAGATCATAAAACCCACTCCGGGCTGCGTCGCAGACAGCGCCTGCTGGGGGCGGGCCCCCGGCCGGAGACGCAGGGACTGCTGCAGGTCTGGGCTGTGATGCACGGGGAGCAGTGCGGAGGTACAGAACATGGATGGGTGGTGGCAGCACTAAGCGGTCTAAGCCCTAAAGTCACCGGTTTATTCTATCCCGATGGCATTTTTACTGCCTGGGAAGAGAGCTGTTTTGGCTTCCTTCAGATTCTTCTGAAAACAATTCTGCCGCGTTGCATGCTTGTTCCATCGCGGAGGTGTCTTACGCGCTTGATTTTCAAGGGAATTTGTCCTGACAGATGGTACATTCGGAAACGCCTGGTGTGCCCCCAGCAAGTGAAATTAACCAGGAGATTTACAGCAGGCGTGTGGATTTTGGAGGTCTTGTGGTGGCGTGCAGGAGGGGGTGTATTGTTGTTTCACACATTAACGAGCCCTGGGGGAAGTCCAAAGAGGTTAATTAAAACTCCTCTCAGTCCTAGTTGGGGCTGCAGTAGCAGAGCACAATAAACCTCAAGGATATTGGGACGCAGAGAGAGCACCATTAAAGCCATCCTTTCCAAAGGTGGTTTCCTTCTGCTAGCCAGCATGGGCCTGATCCTGCACTCCTATTTGGTTATAGGTGCTTTGTTTATTGTAGGGTTGCTTGTGAGTGATGTGTTGCTTTGTTTATTGTAGGGCTGCTGCTCGGAATGCTGGTTTGGTTACTGGGATTGCTGACGAGTGCCAGTTGGTTATTGTAGGACTGTTGCTCGGGAGTGCTTGGCTGAGCATGCTGGTCCAGTCCCGGGCACACTCTGGGATTAGCTGTTATGCCAGGCTGCATAGTGGTTTTGCGACATGGACAAATATCCTGTAAGAACTCAGTCCTGCAGGGTGCTGAGCGCGTCAGCTCAACGCCCTTTGATTTGGAATCGGAGGAAGGATAAGCCAGATCTAGAGATGAAAAGTAGGAACCCTCTATCTTGTCATTGTGCAGCTGGTGTATCTGTCCTGATCTGCCTCTGAGTTCAGTGTGGCTGCCTAGCCATGGCTGAGGGACCTGAACATGTCAAGCAGTGATACTTTGCATGCCTCCTTAGTGTGGCTCTTAAAGCATGTTAGCAACAGGAATTCATTTATCCTCACAACCCATCTGGGAGTGAAGAGACGAGTGCCACCCC